GATATGTATCTTTTAAATCTATAAGGTTCTTTGTGTTAGATGAAGCAGATAGAATGCTGGATATGGGTTTCAAGCCCGATATTGAGAAAATATTGCACCATGAAACAATGGTCGATGTTGTAAGTAGAAATACCATAATATATTTACTATTAATTTCAATGACATTACTTAGAGAAAGAATAAAATATAAATATACATTCATTATAATTATGTATAACATATAATGTTAATGTTTCTTAATTTATTTATAGAACACCAGACAAACACTTCTGTTTTCTGCCACGTTGGCAGATGATATTCAAATGTTATCAAAAGCTTTTTTAAAGCCAAACTATGTATTTGTAGCTGTGGGTGAAATTGGAGGAGCATGTAAAGATGTTAAACAAGAAATAAGGGAAGTCTCCAAGTTTGAAAAAAAGAAAGAACTAATTAAAGTTTTAGAATCCCTAGGTAGTTATTAATTACTTACATTTATTTCTGAGTCATTATTGTGTTTAAATTATGATTGTTAATGTATTGGTATTATTATTTTTAGGAGATTGTAAGGGAACCATGGTTTTTGTGGAACAGAAAAGAAATGCCGATTTTATTGCTGCATTCTTAAGTGAAAAAGACTACCCTACAACTAGTATTCATGGCGATCGTGAACAACCAGAGAGAGAACAAGCTTTAAGAGATTTTAAGAGCAATAAAATGAAAATTTTGGTTGCCACTGCAGTAGCTGCTAGAGGCTTAGGTTTGTGAATTCTATTTTTTTATTTCCTTCTGGTTATGCTTTTGTTAATTAAATATATTTAAAATTTTTTTTCAGATATAAAAGGTGTTAACTGTGTTGTAAACTTTGATATGCCTAGCTCTATCGATGAGTATGTGCATCGAATTGGCCGAACGGGAAGATTGGGTAATTCTGGTAGAGCAGTTTCATTTTATGATAGTTCTAGTGATAATAATTTATCATCGGAACTTGTTAGGATTCTAAAACAGGTCTGTACATTTAAATTTTTTTATTCTATTGGTGTATTCTATTATATTGTTGGTTTTAGGCTGAACAAGAAGTGCCATCATTTTTAGATGGTGGAGGTGGAAATTCCTATGGTGGAGATTCGTATGGCGGAGGTAGCAATGCATGCAGTGATGTTAGAGTGACTACGGTAAATATTGTTTTGTGTATTGTGTACTTTTTGTTAAATTTCTGTGTTAACAGCTAAATGTTTTTTAATAATGCAGTATTTTTTTTTATTTGTCTACACTATTGGTTTTCTCTGAACCTTCCTACCATACCAAATTTACCTGGGTTATAACTTTTTACATTAAGAGTAAATTTATTTTTTATTATATTACACTTACAACAAAGTTCCCTACATAGGCTGTCTTAATTTGTATGCAAGTTATAAGCTTATACATTTTTACAATTCACAAATTATACTGGGACACAGCTATGTTTTTAGCTCATAGTTAGATGATAGGTGAATTCACATAAATATTTTAATCTTTTATCATCAATATAGAGATGAGGGTCGATCCTGCTAAACAAATGGCTTTGTTGGTGTTTATGGGTTGATGAGAGAAAACACAGTGTGCTGACATTCTCTTTATTTTATTTATTCTGTACTACCTAAATTGAATTATGTGTAATGCAATTATTTTTATTAAATTTTTTTTTTGTCTACAGCAAGCTGCTGACGATGATGGATGGTGAATCAGCTTGGTACATTGAATTATTATTTATTTAAACGACCTAAATATGGACTGATTAAATTAAATTATTAGACTATTTTTAGGTCCATAATTATTAAATATTTGTACAACTTAATATTGGTTAATATTGGTTATGTTATGTTCTTATTATGCTGTATACATATTCTTGTTTGTTATGTTAAGATAAATTTAATAACTTACCTTTATTCCAAAATACATAACAGTTATATTAATATTAGTTTATGGTTTTGATTTGTTACATATTTTTTGTTGATTAATTTGATGAAATCTTGCAATATTAATAGTGAACAATTAATGTGCAGTGTACATTTAACTTTATAACACGTTCACCTCTGCCGCCGATCACAGATCACCATTGGTAGTAGGGCCCTTCGATCCATGATCGTCACTGTGCATATTGAAAATACACTCCTACAATGACTGCTTTATTATTTATCAGGCCATTCAGAACATATTAACGGAAAATTCTTATCATTCTGTTTTTTGATACTTTTATAGTCCCGCAGATGTTTCCGTAGATACGAAGCGTGTGACACCAGATTTGGAATATACGTGTGGCAGTGAACATGTTAAATGTGTTGAAGGATCTGTATTAAGTATTGAAATTCAGGTGTATGAAAATAATTCATTAATCTTACCATTTAACGATTTTATAAGACATTTTAGAGTTTTATTAAGTCATTGTTAATAAGGGAATAAATAGTATAATGTATAATACATTGTCATTAAAAACATGGTATTGACTATTGATCAGTACTACACATGAATATACACTCAATTCAGAATAAAAATCAAACTTGGTGGTGGCAAGTTGTTTGTTTGCAATTGTCAAATGCTTCTCTGCGTGAGCTAGTGCTCAAGAGCTCTTAGCCAAGCCCATGTACATAATATGTTGGGCTGCGAGTTACTTTCCCATTTCGAACAGACTCAATTTAAGTAAATTTTAATGCACTATCTATATGTTATCCTACTTAGTGATCCAGATATTGAAAGTCTTATTATTTTAGGAAAGGCATCATAGTTGCTATTACCAAGACATTCTATTTCTTAAGTACTTTTTTCCTGAGTTGTTATTACTTAACAATTTTTTTTTTGAGCACGTAGATATAATTTCAATAATATTTACACTGGTAGCCCCGTGGGTTTGGATATATCATACGTGGTATTCTATATTAGTATATTTATAACAATATTGTAAATATGATGTCCCTATTTATCCTAGTACAAACCAAGCTCCATTTGGCAAAAATAAATTAAGTTAATCAACAGTGGCATTTTAGACATGAACTTATGATCTTTTTATTGTTCTCCATTAGGTGGCATGTACCTACTTATAAATTTATGATTTGGAAACATAATTCTTGATAAATAAAAATATTTCGTTGTTTATATGGGATTTATTTTTGTGTCATTTTAACTACAATGCCGAATGTTAAAACAAATATTGTTATCCTTAAAAATGTAATATATTTAATAGAAGATTTTTCTTGTGATTTTGTGCGAGAACGCAAAATTGTATCATATTATTAAATATCCTGACATGTGTCATATTGTACTGTTGTATGTTATTAAGTTCTAACATATAACTTCTGCCTGTTATATAATGTATGTGTATATGGTTTGCTCCATAAATTGCTATCAGGTGAACAGTAAAATGGTATTTATATTTATTTTCTATTATTTTAAACATATTATCTCATTACACAATAGTACAATACATTATATTATATTCAGTAAAACCAATTATTTAATGAACATTAAAATCCTCTACTAGTCTGTAATACTGTATTAATCTGTCACTTTAACACTGTACCAGAGATGAATGGTGTTTTGTAGTGACCACCTAAGTACTGTGTAACAGATAATTGTTGGAGTTGTAACTAGTTACAGATCGGTAAAAATAATATAATATTATTATGATAAGATAAACAAGTTTTATCATCAAAGATTATCAATATTCAATTTATATTATATATATTTTTTAGTTTTTGCGATTAAAAAAATATGGTCTAATTTATTTGGTAACCACGGTTATTAATAATTTACTATTTATTTATGCAACCCGAGAATAGTTTACACAATCATTAAAAACCTTACAGGGCCGTTAACAAATTTACAGACTGTTCTTTATGCAACCCGCCCTGAGAATTGAGATACGTAATTTATATCGGAGCAAGGACCCACCATTCTCTCAATGACAATAAAACGAGCCGTTCCGAATTCTGCTGTCCTCACTACGAAAGTGCAAATATTTTATTTATAGATAAGATGGACTTAAAGTTATTTTATTTCACAATTCCTAATTTATTTCAATTATTTTCTTAATAATAATAAGTAATTATTTTATTGTATTACCATTTACCATGATTATAATATATAATATGAAAAGAGATAAAGTTTAACAATAAATTAAAATCACATATTTTATAACCGTATATTTATTATTTAGGTACATATACTAAAATACAAAATAATTGTATTTATATATTACATATTATTTACATTTAACTGGTATGGGTTTTTGTAAATGACTTAGAAACGCTTTGAATATAGGTGGAAGTACATCAGTTTTTACAAATTTTACGGTCACAGAATCTGATAATCTTCAAACTTAAAGTGTTCATTACACAATGAGCTGTACTTTGTAGATACCAAATTCTTTCTTTTAACTTCAATAAACCATCTTTTAAGAAATTCAGGAGGATTATTAAGTGGAAATCTGTCTGTAAAATATTCATAGTTAGGTATAATAGGTATGTTACCTATGCTTATATAATATTTAATTCTATATACAAAATTATAAAATGTAAATATTCACTTTTGTAACTTAATACTTCCACCTTGTATGTGCCTGTTGGTACCAAATGCTGAGTATGAGACAATCATATTGAATAATGTCACAACTCATAAACGAACTGTTAACTAACAAGTATAATTACTAAAATAAGGTTGAAAAATCGCCAAATTAAAAACAATAGGGATTGAGGTTTAAAAGATAGAAAAGATGGAAATTATGTAAAATTTGAGTAAATATCTCGGCGATTATATACGAAAAGAACGCATTATTTATCGTATATTCGTGTAAAATGTAAAAATTAAGTGTTGCCCTTCGGTGGTGAGGATAACGTCAAACGTGAAGGTTCGTTTTTATGTCCAAGTCCGTGCTCCCGTATAATTTATTATCTATCTTATTGAATTAATCTTTTTTTCTTTATTTTCAAGCAGAAGTATATCTAAGCAGTAAGCAATATACTCAAATAGTCAAATATAAAGATAACTTATGTGACTTATTCATACGATTGATGACCTAGTTGCGCCTCTGTATAGTTCACAGTAAAACCCAACGGCGTAACCACGGTGACTATATTTTGTTTAATTCCCCGGGTGCATTGTGATAAAATAAAAATAATCGATTACGTAAATCATACACAACACATATTTTGATAAAAACATATTCACTTTTAACGAAACACGTCTATTACACACGCAAGCGTCATCAAATGTCACAGGATGACGAGTCTAAATGTAACACGGCCTACCAATATTTTAAATGCGCAAAGCCATTGGATTTTTCTTACAGGAATCTTGTGTCACTTGAAGGTATACATAGCCAAGAGCTACTCATACCTATTTGTATTGTTCGTATTGATGGTAATAGTGTAGGCGCTAGGTATGTACTTTTGTATATTTTCCAACCCTAACAATAATAAACCTTAGGTGGTATAGGTACTCCATATAAATGTGTTGATTTTTATAAGTATTACATTAAAATATGTGTTAGTATAAATGTCATTCATATTAAGGGCGTATTATTTCATACCCGACAAATCTGTACCATCCTGAAATAGTTACCTACCTACTATATTATCTGTCACTACCTGTCTACCTAGTACCTAAGCCTGTTCATTGCAACATAAATCAATTCAGAATCTAAATACAGAAAATTCATATTATTTCCAATTTGTGTTAATAATCCCTTCAGGTTGACACAAATGTAATAATTTATGTAAAATACTCGATTGCTTGAATAATGGTTGAGAGAAAGCTGTGAGCTCGTAAAGACGCATTCACACGTAAGTTGTGTTGATCAAATCGCATTGAGATTGGACATCCATTTTACATTACATTTTTTAGTATCATATAATAACCAAGTTGCAATTGATTATACCAAGAATTGACTACAGCTCAAATTTTAAGCCATATTGGTTAGGAGTTATAACCATATAGTTAGCAATTACCATGCCCTAGCACAACACGACACACGACGTATAGTTGTGAATCTGTCTCAACTCTAGTGTAAAAATGAAATGCGTGTAAGCTGACTTACACTCGGTACAAATTCGTTAATAGAACGATCAAAGTTTTTCATGAGCACTGAGCAGTGAAAAAATGCATCAGAAATATAGAGCTTTTGATTTTTTGATAATAATATTAATATTATTAATTAATATTAATTAAATTATTTTGTTTGTTTAATTATATAAACTTACTAATTATAAATCATCAAGAATATCAAAACCCTATAGTATAGAATATACTATTTAAAATAAAAGATAATTTCATTATATTTTGTTGTACATACATATATTTATATTTTTAATGGCATTGGTTCACACAAATAGTTTTCTACACATATATAATTTCATCGTTGTTAACTAAATATCACAGTCACTAAAACATTCGTAAATATAGTAACTTGTGTGGTTTTAGAGTTGAATGGAAACGAAGAACCACTGCCACTGAGAGTGCGAGGAGCTCCAAAGAAAAACCTAAAGAGTAACCGTTACAGGACAGGTTCGTTTTGGCTGAATAAAAACAATTTGAAAAACGTCAACGGCCTGAGGAACCTGGCCGATCGTCTATTCGAAATGGCTGATTACCTCTCGTGGTTAGATTTGTCCGACAATAACCTAACTTCAATCAGTGACGTAAGTATGTACTACAATACTTACTATTATAATACCCATGAATAAGTATACAACTAGTATTCATAGATGCATTTCTACCAGGGACGTCATTTGCGAGTTTCAAAGGTGTGCATATAGAGCATTATGAACTTCTATTAGATTTAAATTTATTATATTTTGATGATTTTTTTTATAATAAAAGTGATCATTTTAGATTCTGAGCGGAACGATGAATGTATTGATTTTACTATAATGTCTGGGTTATTTTCTCTTTCTGCAAATATTTTTTTTAGTAGATAATTCTTTTCTTTTCGGAAAAGGAATATAGTTGGTACTTTTAGGTAAAAATTGAAAATGTACAGTAGTTTTCTAAAATGCCGAGCAAAACTAAAAAAAAAATTAAGAAAAAACATGGATTTTTGTGCAAAACGAGTTTTTAACAAAATTGATTTAGTTTTTTTTGTTATAAAAACTAATAACTGTAGATACTTGAAATTTTCACTGAACGTTTATATTTGAAGTTTCTAAACACTACATTATCTTTAAAATTTTTAAACTTTTTTTGAGATATTTATAAACATAAAAACAAATCGATTTTTAGAAGTTTTTTTTTAATTTTTGTCGATACAGCATTTTTGTTAGGTCAAAAAACTTGAAAATATAGTGCAAATTGATAAAAAAATTAAGAGTAATCCACAATCATTTTTTATGAGAATCTGAAGTTAAAATTATGACATAATTCGTCAAAATCACGAAAATTTGCAAATTGTTTTGAGTTTGTAATTCATAAATATGTTTCTTTTTAAATCTAAGATGTGAAACTTTAATAGTAAATTTCTTTTAGTTTTCCTATCTTTAACAAAAAAATTGATATTCACTAGTAATTTAACGAATTCTTATTGAGCAATTTTCTTATTTTGTTGTAATTTAAAAGCTCATGTAGATACTTGACATTTTCATCCAATATTTATGTTAGCAATTTCCATACATGGTAACATTTTCGAAAAATTGTTTTGAGCTATTTAAAGCCTAGAAATTTTTTTTTATAATTATTTTCGATAAAAAATACTCATGTTGCTGTTTACTACTATCAATGTTGATGACGGACAGAACAAAACACACATTATTGTAAAAACAATACATTTGTTATTACACTCAAAATCTAAACAATTTATATCAGTTTTGATAAATTATGTTATCTATTAGTGGGCTCATTTGTTAAAAAATGACGATTTATTAAAATTAGTTATTGTCTGTAACTTTTATTTCATTATCACTTACCGATGATTTGAATTATTTTGAACTATTTTTTAATATTCTTGTGGAAGTTCTGAGATATTGTAAGAGTGACTTTTCCAAATGATCAAACATGATAGTTATGAACATATTAAAGATAAAAATTATTACACGCGACCATGCCGTGCTCTATATCCCCCCACACCATAATTTTTTTGTTTCTCAATAGAATTATTCATGCACTCTGGTATATACTATATAGCATATATTTGTATTGATACTATTAACGGCGTAAATGGTTCCAGGAATTCCTGCTTTTTCCAAATCTGTCAATGTTGTACTTGCACAAGAACAATATTGAAGACTTTGTGGACTCGTACAAACTACGGAAACTGACTAAATTGCGGACGTTGACGCTGCACAAAAACCCAATGTGCAGGTTCCCGTGTTACCGGAGCTCAGTCATCTCTTTTTTACCTAACCTCCGAAAGTTGGACCATGTGGTGGTAGTTCGCTCGGAACGTGAGCAAGATAGAAAGTCGCTGGACAAGGACATCCGCGTGCGCTTGACGAACATGTATCCGGAAGACTTTCTTTGCACATTAGAATCGACAAAAAGGCCTGATTAAAAAACAGCGTCCTATATTAATATTCCTACAAGGCTGTATTTAATATTGCAAAAACAAAAACAAAAATTAAGGCACTTTAAAAAAACTTTATTCTTTGTACATCATAATACTGCTATACCTGCAACCGTTCGTGGTGGCTATGACGTTATATACGAACTGCGAAAGTACAATAATTATGCATTTTTAAATAAAAAATAGTTACTTTATTTTTTTTTTAATCAATTTTTAGCTTTTTTTGTTATTTTACCTAAATTTAGTCTAGTGAAATAGGCATTAAAAAGTTATAACAAAATAAGTTCAGTGTAAACATTAACAAAATAATATGTATCTTGTATTACATTTTAAAATCTTAAGTACAAAGAGAACATTTTGTATTATTTTCCTAACTCAAGATAATTTGTAAATTTACATGATTTTAACGGATTTTGTCAATGTTCTACCTACGGCCACCTAAAAAAAAAAACTATTGTAGATTACGCTCAACTTTTTTTTTTAATTACACTAATAACAACTTAAGAATAACCTTGTGTAATATTTTCAAGTTTTTTGACTGAGTGGAAAATAAATTATCACAATAATCGAAAAAAAAGTGTAAATTGTAAATATTAATAATACTCAAATATTGTCAACATATTTTGAAAATTGTATGTTGTATGGATAATGGTCATATAAACATTTTGTGAAAAATTAAAGTATCTACGGTTATTTGTTTTTGAGTTACTACAGATTAACACAATTTTGTCGAAAATTGGTGTTGTGTGAAATTCTTGTTTTTTTTAATTTTTTTTATTTTCCTCGTCACATTCCATTAATATTTCTTCAAAAGATGATTTAAAAGGTGTTTTCTTTTTCTGTATATAAAGTGATAATAGATACTATTTACAAAACACTGTTAACTGGGGAAACTAAAGAACGTAACTGCAGGGCTCTAAATTTTATATGAAAAATATGTGTCACGTTTAATTATTTATTTATTTACCGCGTTTCTTGTGAGTTGTGGCTGCGTTTTTTATTTCTTCCTCGTGGTGGCAGACGGCAGTCGTATTAGTCTGCAGTCTCAATAATCTACGGGGGTCTCCAGGCACGTCCTAACGAATTACACCCAAGTAATCTGATTTTCAAGTAAGAATCTCCTTTTTTACTGTAAATTATTCAGTGGATTATTTTTTAGGAATGTTTTTTGTTAATTTACAAAATATATGTTATTTATTGGCAGAAACATAATATTATTTACAATTTACACGTTCCAATCAAGTTTGCGTAAAAAGTGTTCTACTTTTTATCTCACAAAAATAATATGCATCATGCAAAAATAAAATATATTTAAATTCTATCAAATATTTGTTATACACATATTTATCACAAATAGTACAATGTACTAACTTCTACCATCAGTTTTTAAAAATTCGTTGGAAAATTGTTCAATAACAATTTGTTATAATTTAGCACCTTCACTTTGAAGTAGTTTGAACTTAAGGTATTCTTTTAATCTTTTAAATTGATATGTTACCTACACTAAATTCCAATTACAAAATATAACATTTTGTTTCTATACTGCACGACAAACACCCGTTGTAGTAACGATAATAAATAAAGTACCTACGTTAATTCAGTTTTTAATTGTTGGTGTCAGCATTTTTTAAGTTTAAAACATTAGTACTTACTAGGCTATATAATATAAACTTATATATATATATTTTTTCTATACTTAATAATTTAAATTAATTTAATAATACATAAAATCATGTAGTATAAAATAAAATAATAACGAGAGCTATGATGTTATTGACCAAAATTTAATTAAAATATGCATTTAACAATTTTAAAATATACCTTTAAATATATCAAATATACCTATTTTTCAACAAATATATGCAAAAAAACATACTAAAAAAATGTGTTAATACTAATTCAAAGTAAATTATAAATAGTATTAAATATGTACTAAATGTTTATTTTAAACAATTACAAATAATGGGATAATAGTAATTCAGAATAATTTGTGTCTTGTAAATGATTTTAAAATAACTTCATTGCAAAATACATAATAGAAATAAAATACTATAAATATAAATATATAAACTAAAATACATGTTACGTAGTTAAATATCAAGATTACACCGTATAACAATGATTTTCTATTTGTTTAATTATAGTTGATTCCGTGCACTTCGTTGCCCTTTAAAAATGACATCTCCATATAAGAGATTTGATTTTGATAATGCGAGCAGTATATTATTAGGAAGGTGCCCCGCTAGGTGCATACTATTATACTACTATACTATCTATATATGATTATATGAATAATATGTTTTATTTTTATTCATATTTATTTTGATTGTGGACACTCTGATGAGCGGCTATAAGTGAAACGCAGCCTCCTTGGTAGGCAATGTGCGAAGATTCGATTTGATGCATGCTTAAACCTGTTCTGTCCGATTAACCATTGGAAACCAAAAAACAAAAAGAATACTAATTTCCTCTAAAAAATTAAGAAAATGAGTTATTAATTAAGATAAACGTGTTTCCAGTAACCTGTAGCCTGACCTTTTCGTCTGTCAAATTATGTGTTTTACTTGATATTGTATATCTTTGACTTGCAGCATTGCGAGTCCGTGACTTAAATTTGTATGTCTAATTGCTGGCATTTTTAAAAACAAAAATATTCCATCAAAACTTACTAAAACTCCTAATATTTTTGCAATGTTCTTTTTTTTATGTCAATTGCATGTACTTTATCGTTTAAAAGTTATAATGATACTAATATTCAGTACCAATAGTGTTGTTATACGCTCGGTGCGTATTATTATTATTATTATTATTATTATTATTTATTATACAATTTACACTTTAAATATTAAAAAATATTTTGTTTGAGCCACTCTTTACACCTAGGGGTATGAAAAATAATTTACATCACTCTCCTACTTAATATACACCCAAGATTTCATGAAAATCGGTCCAGCCGTTTCGGAGGAGTTCGGTAACAAACATTTTTCATATTGTGACACGAGATTTGTATATAATAGATTAATATCTAATATATTATACATATTCGTCGGGAATATTTTTAGAAGTATACTTCTCTAAAAACTCGAATTCCAACGAATTATAGTCGTCCGTCTAAAGTGTTATGTTTATATTAAATTTTAATTATTATAAATAGGTATGTCACTAAATCTAGAAATTATTAATATATACATTAATATGCTCAAAATGTCAAATATGCGAAAAAGTTTATCGTTTTTTAATAAAGATTTCACGAATCAAATTTGTATCACACTTCGGTGTAATTCTGGCTGCGCGAAAAAAATATGCTAAGTTTTAAACATCCAAGCCTCTTGGATCTCATAATCTCATAATCCCATCTCATAATAACACAAGTTTTCAGAAAACAAGTTATACATTGTCTATTATTGATATAAGAAAATATTTATAAATAATCTTCGATTTTTAGATTTTCTTTTTTTTTTTTTTGATATTTTTATGGAAATTATTAACTATTAATTACTTTTTTTTTACTTTTTGTTATAATTATTTTGTAGATATTGCTTATCAGAGAAATTAATAAATTATTATTTTTATTTATTAAGTACCTATACATTTTTGTGTTTTCTAGTGTTGATGATTTAAAGATTAGAACTATTAGTTCGTGTCCCGTACTCCTGTGGCTGTAATTACTAATTACTAATTAGTACAAACCATGGTTGTATATAGAACAGCAGCTGTTCCATATGGTTTCTAGTCGTCATGGTTTACGTCTATGATAATTGGTAGCATGCCTATATTGTTATGTAGCCAATAGGTAAGTACTAAAGTACCTATTACCTAGTATAGAAGTATAATATTGTAGAAACCGCGGTGCGAACATAGATGTATACATCTACACGTATATACAAGTAAACAACTTGCATACGAGTAGGTACGACGTATATTGTGCAACGTAGGTTACCAACCGTCTACAATACTGTTTGAATTACAAATTATAATAAATTAATAAATACAATAAATATTACTATTATCGGTTTTCATTTGTTTGTTGGTCAATATTTTCATTTGTCGAACATCCGGACCACAACAAGAATTTATTTAAAAGTAAAAACGAAAATGCAACAAATGTACTCTACATGAAAATATCATATTTAAAATTCCTATCAGCGTCTTAATTTTATTTTCGGCAGGGTAAAGAAGGCATTTTACAAAAAAATGGTGCGAGTGAACACGCTGCCCTCCCCCAAAGTACGTATTTGATTAAATTAACTCGTGAACAATTAACAACTATATAGTCCATACGCCTATCAAGATAAAATCTAATCTTTTATTCAATATAACCGACCATCTGGTCGTCAGTTTATAAATAGTATGTTTACGTATTAAATAAATACGATTTAACATGAGTTTTTTTCAATCAAATAAGCATTAAGCAAATATATATATACTTATAATCTACATAATGTATAATATTATACTAGCTGATCCCGTGCATTTTGTTGCCCTTTAAAAATGCCAACTTTATATGAGACTTGGTGGTGATAATGCGAGCAGTATAATATTATGCCTACCTACTGTGGATGGCGGACCCCGCTCGATGATTACTTAATATAAATAGTATGTTTAATTTTAATTTTTATTGCAGATACGACGATGAGCGGCTATAAGTGCAGTTCACCAACCTTGGTAGGCAATGTGCGATAGGTAATTCAATTGTATGCATGCTTATACCTGATCTGCCCGATGAACCACGGCAGGCAACCAATAAACAAAACAAAAAAAATACCAATTTCTAGTTTCTATTAATATATTTATACTTCTCCTATAACCAATAGCAACCTTATATAAACAAATATTTCCTTCGTAAATCTTAAAATCCCTGTTTGAGCAACTTCCCGGCTCGGACCTATCAGGTCCAATTGTGAATCTAAAGTTTAGGTAGTAAGATAAGTTTAATCTTTAGATTCTAAACCATCCAGGGCGTCAAGCAAACGCATAGAAACAAATTCATTCAAATCGATCTAGCCGTTTAGGAGGAGTTCAGTGACATACACATGTACAGTAGAATTATATATCTAAAGATAATATTCTGATTAAAATATGCAAAAATATGCAAAAAATGTGAAATTGTGGGCAACCAATGTATATTCGGAAATGGTCTAAAGAGA